TGCTGTGACTAACACGTGCCTGTCAACTGCAATGATAACGGCGAAGACACCGGCAGATTGGAGCACTGAGATTGAGGTACCCCTGTTCAAGAAGGGGACACCATAGGAACTAATCCAATTACTGATGGTGTGTCGAGGAAGTTGCACGCGGTGTAAAAATCTTCCACGGTGTTCACCAACAATATGTTCCGGCTTGGAAATATCAGAATGGAGGAGAAGTACTGCCATGTTATTTGACGCCAGCAGCTCTTAAGGCTGCAACCATGCAATCACTTGCACTCACTAGATAGTTGACTGTCCGGTTGACAATCAGCACAAGGTGTCATTAGACGAAAATAGTTCAACTGCACAAGGGCATAGAACGAAATAATCATAAATTAATCAGATGTATCCCGCAGGGATGTTGTCGCTCTTTAATCATAAACCTGAAAGACCGCCACCGGATAAGTCAATAAGACAATATTTCGTTTAATATCAGAAATGGATCAGAACAATAGCCTTTTAACACTTGAACTTTAACACTCAACCTCTTTGCGACAATGAAAGTTTTTCAGAAAAAACATTAAAAAATTTTGCCCCTTCCGTCAGAACTACGCCACCGAAACAGATTAAGCGGCGAGGAGGCGCATGATCTGTCCACTGAGGAACGACGTGACAAGAATGAGGGAAAATAAGCGAGTGACGCGTGGCTAGTTAATGGTCAACAGCATCGGCAGAGTGGTGACAGTTAGTGTGATCCGCGTAGTACAGTGGAAGCGGTTAGTTTTTGCGGTCATATAGCCCTTCTTCAGGCGTTTGTCCATTTTGCACCACTACTGTGCATGCGTTTGACGTGGCCGCCGCCGGGTCACTGCTACAGTCGGCACTTGCTTGGACGATTGGCGAGTACAGGGCGAACGGCGACTGGGAGCCTCGACCGTAACGCTACGCCAAGTAGGGTGCGAATAACGAACAGAGCTGGTTTTGTGCGGGTAAAAAACGAAAAGTAGCTGGCAGAACACTACTTTCACGCCAAATACGTCCCATGACTCCGACTCTACCCTAATCTTTGTCTACCGCTCACAGCATCACGTTCCCACGGCAAACTCCTGCACTTGCGACAGTCACGAGTCACAAGTTATCGTCTGCAGTGACACGTCACTCCTCGCTGCCAAATCCCTCGTTGCCATCCTGTCACCCACCTCCTGCACTCGGTTTGACCCTAAACTCC